AAAAAAAAAAAAAAAAAAAAAAGGCCGGGCGTGGTGGCTCACGCCTGTAATCCCACCGCTTTGGGAGGCCAAGGTAGGTGGATCATCTGAGGTCAGTAGTTCAAGACCAGCCCAGCCAACATGGTGAAACCCTGTCTCTACTAAAAATACAAAAATTAGCCGGTCGTGGTGGTGGGCGCCTGTAATCCCAGCTACTTGGGAGGCTGAGGCAGGTGAATCACTTGAATTCGGGAGTTGGAGGTTGGAGTGAGCGGAGATCCACCACTGCATTCCAGCCCGGGTGACAGAGCGAGGCTGTGTCTCAAAAACAAACAAAAAAAGTTTGGTAGGAAAGGAGTTTGAAACAGTTAAAGTATGTATTTTAGTGGCAGATGCTGCTGTGATTCTCTATTCCTATAGTAAGCAGTGTCTTAGGCCTGAGGAAGTAATAACTTCTGTTTTATCTCTCTGGACCTTCTTTACAGGCGGGATGGCTAAATAAGTAGATGAAAAAAGTAGAAACATTAGCATCTAGAACTAATTTGCACAGTGATCAGCAAATTATCCTGGCAGTGATTTAAAACTCTGAGGGTCTCCTTGGTTTTTGCCATCATCTCCAGGGCAGGGCTGGCTGTGGACACTGTGTGAATTCAGAGATGTAACTGTTCTGTCCTCACAGGAACGGTGGAGGCCATGTGTCTTTTGGCAGTCAGTTCAGATGGGAATTGGCTAGCTGCGTCAGGTACCAGTGCTGGAGTCCATGTCTACAATGTAAAACAGCTAAAGGTGAGCATAGGGCTTAATGGCAGCAGTTTGAACCATTTTACAGGAGCCAGTTCACCATGCAGTTACAAGATTCAAGGCAGATTGGCATGACCTGGAAATATATTAGACTTTTTTCTTTTTAACCAATGATTTTTCCAGGTTTGGAATCCTGTTTTATTTTTTTATTTTATTTTATTTTTTTGAGGTGGAGTCTCGCTCTGTCGCCCGGGCTGGAGTGCGGTGGCAGGATCTCAGCTCACTGCAAGCTCCGCCTCCTGGGTTCACGCCATTCTTCTGCCTCAGCCTCCTGAGTAGCTGGGACTACAGGTGCCTGCTACCACGCCTGGCTAATTTTCTTGTATTTTTAGTAGAGATGGGGTTTCACCGTGTTAGCCAGGATGGTCTCCATCTCCTGACCTCATGATCCACCCGCCTCGGCCTCCCAAAGTGCTGGGATTACAGGCGTGAGCCAC